AGGTACATATCTCCCATGCCTAGTGTAAAATTACTTTTCCTTAACATAAGTGGGACAAGTAGGATTCGAGTATTAGATCTCTATCTCACCTATCATGTTAACTAATTGATTCTCAACAATTGTCTTAAAACTTAAGTTGATGGTAAATTACTCAATCTATTTTTTTTTTCCTGTAATAGTTATAAACAGATAGATGTTGATATTATGTTAAATAATTGATTGCAGACAATTGTCTTAAAAGTTTTAGCTGATGGTAAATTACTCAATCTATTATTTTCATCTGTAATGGTCACAAAATGATAGAGGCTATAGGTTCCTAACATTAGCCTTCGTTTTTTTTGCATTTTTGTCTACTTTGCAAAGGGATTGTTTTGCCTTCATGTTTAGGTTAAGTTTGGTTGAAATTTTAATTCTATGGTATAGGAATGTAGATAGAGTTCAAATTGGATAAAATTTGAAGGAGAAGCATTCTAATTCCAAGTCATTTCAATGTCCAATTAAACTTGGGTGCTTTTGTAGTACATCTCTTGCCTAGTGGAAAGACAAAATGCATCATTGTGTAATTGATGATACAAGTGAAGTTGATTAAATCATATACCAAGTATGTAAAACTAACTTCTACACATCAAATTATTAGGATTTAAAAATTAAATAGGAATAGACTTGAATCAAATGCAAAAATGTAGGAGGATTTCTTATCCTCACTTATACTACAATGTCTCTTGCGTTTTGGTACTACCTCCTCTTTTATTTAAAATCAATTAAACAATTTGGATGCAATAGAACATTAAGATGCAAAAACTCTTTCTTTCATTTTCACTTTTTAACATTTTCCCCTCATATGTTGAAAGCACTACTTTCTATAGTTATTCTTCAAATCTTTTGTTGCTTATTTCAGTGCAATGGCTTGAGAAGAGAAGCAAAGCATTTGAACCTACATACTTGTACACTATGGAAAAGGTAAATTCCACTCCAAAATATTCTTGCTAGTCTTTTCTTGAATATAGGTTTATTGCATTCAAGGAATGTGTTTAAATTACCTTGGGCTCAAATCTCGTCTACCAAGAAAGGAATGGAGGAGAGTAGAAGAGAAAGCATTCTGATAAAAATTCTGCATAACATTGAAGCACTTTATAATCATCAGTTCGAATGTTAAAACATATAGTTGCATTGCAGGGGTATCTTTTGCTACCTGAAGGAGCAAAGTCTCAGCATAATATACGTACTGTTAATATTAGCATACCGGCAGGACATTCTTGCTTTGGGAACAGGTTATATCTTTTATTCACCTTTATTTCACTATTTAGTCACAAGTTGGACATAGACATTTGTTTGTAATATTTCAAATCTATGAGGAACTTGTGGAAAAGGAAATTGTTGGCCAGCTGCATGTGGAAAAGGAAACTGTTGGAGAGCTGCAGATTAAGCTTAATTAGCATACAATCTGTATTTTCCTAATTAACTGAGATATGTAGCTTTTCTTTATCAGTGGGATTCCTATATTTTACGAAAGTCATCATTGTTCTTTAAGTGCACATGTATAAATATCTTGAATGTTGTTCATAATAAATAGAATCTTTTCTCTCTATTTTCCCCATGGTATCAAAGCATTAAGGTTTCTGAGAAAAGAAAATCTGCATTAGCCACTTTTGTTGAAATTTTTTTCAGCCTTTATTGCTGCAATTTCCAGACAGTATGCAGAGCTCATACCCTTCAAAATCACTGAGTTTTTCTTTCTTTAAAGGTGTTGGACATTCATTGTTGCACCTCATTGTTGGAGCCTCAAATCTCCAGGATCCAATTAACCTCAATTAGAGGAATAAAGATGAATAAATGACACACATCCTAAGACTTTGAAAGTGAGTTCCTGGAGCTCTAAAAGTGAGGGAAAAATGGTGGGAGCAACTCCATTGGACTTCAGGACCTTAGGACTCCAAACGGTAGTCAACTTATGGTATGAATAGCAGTGAGGATAGCTTCTCTCCAGGATTTAACTTATGTGTTTGAAAGAGAAATGGTTTAGTGGTGGCTGTAAGGTGTTTGTTCCTTCTTTTAGCAACCTCATTCTGTTAGAGTGTGTTAAATGGGGGAGGATTCAGGAATGCATTATGGAATAAGGGTGATAATGGTTGATAAAAATAGGCTTTGGCATTATGACTTGATGAAGATTTGGAAAGATAATGCTAAGAGATGATTTTTACTTGAGGAGAAAGATCACTTGGGTGCAATCATCTGTGAAGGAGACAATCCACCTAGCACCTGTAAGACTAGGCACTTTTGATCCTTCCCGAATGTCACTATGAACGTAGATAAAGGAATTAAAGTTCTATTTTTGTTTCTTGGATAAGAGGCATGGTCATATTTCGCAAACTCACACACATAAGAATCTAATTATTCAAGATTAATGTCTTGATGCTGTTGACACGAATATTTTGTTGCCTAAATGACCGTGATATTTTTCTCTATATAGTCTTACCATTTGTTTTCTCCATAATGATGTAATTATTTAGAATCTTTATTATAAGGAAATTTTTCTATTTGTACTTAGGAAGTCTTGTATATATAGGAGTTAGTTGTAACACCTAATGGTAGAGAAAAATAAAGTGCAAATATTTTTCCTAAATTTCTACATGGTATCAAAGTAAAATAAGAGTATTTTGAGGTTTTAATTTCAGGATTTATTTGAAAATCCTCGAATCTTCACAACACCCACCCAAACAGAGTACCGATCTCACTGGTGGTCGGCCGCCTATTCCGGTGACTTTCTCCACCATACCCGACTGCCTACTCCACTCGCAGGTAGCAATTTACACTGCCCTTCATGCGCAGCCTCCTGATTCGCATTGTTGTTCTTCTTTGCAGCTCTTTGTTTCACGCATCACTTCTTCGTAGCTCATTGGTTTGCATGTCGCGTTGCTGTTCTCGCAGCCACTGATTCGTGTCATCTCTTCGCAGCGTTTTGTGCTTTGCGTATCAGTTTTTGTGCACTGAAGAAGCGTTGCAGATCGGGTCACATCAGTTCCTCCATTCGGGTCGCACAAGCTTTTTGCAC